CCCCAGGGACAGCTGCATGGGCCCGCGCAGCGAGGCCAGGCCCACGGCATAGGAGGCGCCGCCCCACACCACGCACAGGCCGCCCAGCAGGAAGAAGCCTGCGGAGAGGGAGAGGAGGCCATCAGCCCGGGCAGGGAGGCCAGGGGACAGCCCCGGGGCGGCAGGCACGGCCGGACGGGGTCTCTGAGAGGTGGAGCTGGACCCGCGCCCTGGGCCACCATGGCAGGCGGACGACGTCGGGGTCCACACTTACCGTGGGGCCCAGAGCACCCTCGCTCCTTCGTGGGGGTCGGCACTCACCGTAGGCAGCTTCCCGTCCCATGTCACTTTGCATGAAAGAGATGACCCCGATGCCTGAAGCCAGGAGGCCATTGCGGAACCAGGACAGGAAGGCTGCATCGAGAGGAAGACGCTCAGCCCAAGCCCTGCGCCCCGAGGCCCCTCTGCCCGGGCAACCTGAGGGGCCTTCCGCCTCCCGCCATCACGCGTCCAGCCACGAGGCCAGCGCCCCCAATCCCCAGCTCTTCCAGGAAGCCCCCGCCAAACCCCCTTCCCCGTCATCTCATCCAGGCCTCTGAGCCCTCGCCCTAAATTCTGCAACACCAAAGATTGGAGATGGCCTCAGTGCAGCCTGGAGGGCGATCTAGAACCAAAAGCGAAGACCCTCGATGTCCAGACGGGAAGCCGCCAGGGGCCCACCTCGGCCAGGCCCTCCGCCAAGTGCAGCCCCGGCCGCCGCCTTGCTCAGACCCCGGGACAGACCTCTCACGCCGGCCTCTCGCAGGCGTGCCCCTCGACCTCCTGCAAACGCCACCCTCTCCTACCACGTAGGGCCGACTTAAAGCATCCACACTTCCGCAGCTCAACTCCCTGGGGGAACAGGCTGGTCAGGGCAGGCCTGAGGCCAAGGGCACCAGAAGCCGCCAGGGTGGCCCCATCACAAGTCCCCTGTCCCATCCAGAATCCAACGCCCCATCCACTCGGACCTGTCACCCTTCCACTTGAGGCTCCTCCCCCAGCAGCTAGATCGCCCCTTCCTCCTATCAGCAGAGAGCTTTGCCCCCATTGGCTGCGCCCTCCTCCAATCCGGAGCTCCCGCATCTTCTGCGGGGAGCTGCGCTCTGCTGTTTGCAGAGTGGTCCCCTCGGCCGCCTGTGCGATCCCTGTGGCAGGGGGTCCCCACCCTTAGCTGCCCGGGGACGCCCCCTCGCCGCAGGCGCAATTCTGCCGGCCCCTCTCCCAGCCGGGCCCCTCCCCGATCCCTACTGCGCCCCGCTGGCCCGGACCCCGGCACCCCTCGCGCAAGCCCCTGCCCTAAGCGCGCAGCCTGTGCCCCTGCAGCCAGCGTCTCGGCGCGCATGCGGAAGCTCCCGTCGCCGCCGAGCATGGGGCCCAGCTTCCAGCCGCGGCTGCAGCCCGCACACGCGCTCGCGCCGGCTCGACCCGGCCCCTGCCGCGAACCTGTCTCGTGAGCCTTCCGGAGGAGCCAGGCGTCCGCGCGGTCCAGCTCAGACACTGCGGGCGGCGAAGCCCCGGCGCGGGGACCGTGGCCCGGGGCGAAGGATCCCCGGGCGCCCCCGCTCCGGGGCCGCTGAGGAGGCAGCAGCGACCCCCGGAAGCGGAGTCGGGCCAGGCGAGCCACCCGAGCCCACCACCAGCTGCCTCCCATGGTTCCCATTACGGCCGCCGCGCGCCGCTCCGCCCCGTGGGGCGCCCGTAGGCCACGGCTCACGTCACTCAGGCGGAGCGGCTCCCTATTGGATGCTCTTCCGCTACTCAGACCCAGCAAACGTCGTCCACTGGTCGAGGTGGCGGTGGTTCCCTCCTCTGTCATCTATGCCGGTAGTGCGCATCCCGCCTCGCTTTCGCCTCCCGACTACAAGTCCCGGCTATCAGCGCCTCCGGGGAAGGCGGGCTTCCAAGTCCCGGCGCGAGGTCTGCGGGACTTGTAGTTTTGTTTTGTTTGGAATTGTAATTTTAAAAATAACTTTAGTTCCAATGGCTATCAAAACAAAAACTCTAAGTTCTTAATGTGCAGTCTGAAAAACCCCGGGGAGCCCAGACAGGAAAGTAAAACCCAGCAGTAATCTCATCAATGAGCGGTTACTATTTTGTTGTATTACTGTACAATTCTATGCAGATATACAATAAAACACTGTTTGACAAATTATTTTTTCATATAACTTTAACTTTATTGGGAACATTGACTTGTGTCATTGAATATTTCACCATGAACTTTATTTTTATTTTTATTTATTTATTTTTCAGTACCGGGAATCGAACTCAGGACCTCGTGCTTGCCAGGCAGGCGCTGTGCCGCTGAGCTAAATCCCCAGCCCGAACTTTTTTTTTTTTTTTTAATTTAAAAAATTAACCTGGCGTGGTGGCGCACTCCTGTAGTCCCAGTCCTCGTGAGGCTGAGGCAGGAGGATCATTGCGAGTTCGAGACCAGCCTGGGCTGCAAAGTGAGCTCAAGTCCAGCCTGAACTTCATAGCAAGACCCTGTCTCAAATAAATAAATGAATGAATGAATGAATGAATGAATGAATAAATAAATAAATAAATAAATAAATAATTAATAAATGTGATGCCAGGCATGGTGGCGCGGGCCTGTAATCCCAGCACTCAGGAGGCTGAGGTAGGAAAACAACTTTGAGTTCGAGGCCAGCCTGACCTAAGCGGGAGGGGAGGCAGCGGAGGAGGGGGAGCAGCAGCGCTGATGGGAAACAGGCTCAGCAGGCAGAGGTTCTAAATAAATCCCTGCGGTCTTTCCCTAGTTTAAGCCCTCTGGGGACAGGGAGAGTTGAGAGCAGAGCGCCTCTATCGCCCTGGGGCCTTGGTAGCCTTGCACTAGGCCGGCGGCTCTCAGGCTCTGCGCCTCTGTCTCCGCTGAGAAGGTGGGAAGGGCTGTCTGGCGGGACAGGGAGAGATGGCCCTGAGGGGCAAGTCGCATGGGCCAGGACAGGCCTGTGGCTGACAACCGTGCACCGAGGTAGCTTCAGTGAGAACTGGAAATACTTGTGACAGACACATTCTTCACATTCTTGGCTAAGGAAATGCTTTCTGCTGTTGAGAAAGAGAAATAAACAGTTGAATACCAGAAAGGGTCAGAACAGAGGAAACAAATCCTTACAGAAGTCGATCTTCTTGTTCTTTTTTTTTTTTTAATATTTATTTTCATTTAATTTGGGGGTTTCTGCTGGGCGTGGTGGCGCACGACTATAATCCCAGCACTGGGGAGGCTGAGGCAGGAGGATCATTGGGAGTTCCAGGCCAGCCTGGGCCACAAAGTGAGCTCAAGGCCAGCCTGAACTGCATAGCCAGACCCTGTCTCAAAAAGATTTTTTAAAAAAGGCGGGGAGGGGTTCTTTTGCGGGGGAAACAGGGTCTCCCTATGTAGCCCAGACTGACCTTGAACTTGTAGAAAACCTCCTGGCTCAGCCTCCTGAGTGCTGGGATTACAGGTGTGCACTGCTTTTATTTTTAGATTTTATTTTTAAAAATTTTAGGGAGTTAAGCAAGGTTTTTTGTTTTTGTTTAATTTTATTGGTACATTTTAGACGTATACAATGATAACATTCATCAGGGAATTTGTACTTGTACATGATGGATCATGCTTCTTTTTTCCCATTCCTTTCCCCTCCCTATTTACAAAAGCTTTGTTTCCATTTTCCCTTCTTTTCTCATTTGCCCCTTCCCTTCCCTCCTTTCTCCCTCCCCATCCCTGGTTCCCCTTCCCATTTGAACACTTCCTTTCTGTTTCACAGTAACACATACATGTTGGTCCCTATTGACACTTCTGGTTTCTCATACCAGTAAGTATTGTAGTTTTCAAATAAAGGTCTTTTCCTTCATTAGATTGGTTCCTAGGTATTTCTTTCTTTCTTTCTTTCTTTTTGATGCTACTCTGAAAGGTTTTTTTTTTTTTTTTCTTTTTTTCAAAAAAAGGGGGGGCTGGGGATTTAGCCCAGGGGCACAGCACCTCCTACCTGGCAAGTGCAAGGTCGTGAGTTCAATTCCCAGTACAGGAAAAAAAAAAAAAAAAGTGTGTTTCCCTGATTCCTCTTTCAGTGTTTTTTGGTATTTTTGGGGTTTTTTGTGCTGGGAATGGAACTCACGACCTCACGCTTGCTGGGTTTCAGTGTTATTTGGGTACAGGAATGCTACTGATTTCTGAGTGTTGACTTTGTACCCAGCTAAATGACTCAGTTTGGTTATTACATCTAGAAGTCTTTTGGGGGAGTTTTTGGGGTCTCCCATGTAGAGTATCCTGTCATCCACAAATAATGGTAATCAATTTCTTCCTTTCCTTTCCTTGTTCTTTTTATTTCTCTCTCTTTCTAATTGCTCTGGCTAAAGTTTCCAGAGCTATACTGAGTAAGCGTGGTGACGGTGGACATCCTTGTCTTGTTCCTGAATTTAGAGTGAAAGCTGTCAGTGTTTGTCCATTTAGCAGGATGTTGGCTGTTGGTTCGTCATAGATGGGCTTTATCAGACTGAGATAAAGACCTTCTACTGCAATTTTCTGTAGGGTTTTCACCGTGAATAGGTGTTGGACTTTGTCAAATGCTTTTTCTGCATCTACTGAGATGATCATATGTTTTTGTCTTTGGCTCTGTTAATATGGTATATTACATTTATTGATTTGTGTGTGTTGAACCATCCCCGCATCCCTGGGATGAATCCTAGTTGGTCATGGTGTACAATCTTCTTCATAATTTGCTGCATTCTGTTTGCCAATATCTTATTGGAGACTGTTTCGTATCTTCGCATATTCATTACGGAGACTGGCCTGTAGTTCTCCTTTTTGGTTGGATCCTTCTCTGGTGTTGGTATGAGGGTAACGCTTGCTTCCAGGAATAAATTTGGGAGTATGGCTTCCCTTTCAATTTCATTAAAGAGTTTGAGAAGTAGCAGCATTACGTCTTCTCTAAAATTCTTGCAGAATTCAGCAGTGACTCCATCAGGGCCTGGTGTTTTCTTTGTTGGTAGGTGTGGTGGATTAATTAGCTAGTGGTCAACTTGTAACACCCAGCTGAACTGAATCAATGTGGTTCTAGAGGGTGGAAGGCCCACCTGAGAATTGTTACCAACAGCATAAAAAGAGACCTGGAGGGGAAAATGGTGCTGTTGCTTCTCCTGGAGAAGCTTGTCACCCTGCTTTTCCTGATATGAACTCAGCTGTTCTCATCAGAGGAGCTTGGGACCTCCCTGTTGCTGAGGACAGCTGCAGTTCTTTTCAGGGGAGCTCTGGTCCTACCTTGAGCATCGCTTCCTGGCTCCAGTGCAGATCCCTCAGCCTGCTGGCACAGATCCTTTATCTCACTAGCACAGACTTTCTGGCTTCCAGCACTGACCTTTTAGCCTCCCGATGCAAATTCTTGATACAGTTGCATGAGACACTGCCACGGGATCCAGGCCCTCAGCTGGATTCTTGGGTCTCT